GTTGTTGTTGTTGTTGTTGTTGTTGTTGTTGTTGTTGTTGTTGTTGTTGTTGTTGTTGTTGTTTATTATTACGCTTATTATTCTCATTATATTTATTATTATTATCATTAATAATATTACTATTCGCACCATTATTATTATTAGCATTGTTATTACTATTGGGATTGTTGTAGTTGTCATTATTGTTATCATTGTTATTATTATCATAATGATTAGTATTAGTAATATCCTTATAATCATTATCATTTCCTTTGTTGTCATTATTGTTAATACGTTTATTATATCTTCATGCGGAGTTCGCCTCCTGTGGGGTGTTATACTCCTAAACTAAGGCCACCACGGCCAGCTCGCCTTAGCTGCAGAGACAGCAGAGCGAGGCAGAGAGGCGTAGACAAACAAATGCAAAGAAAGAAGAGCAAAGTGCATGCAGCAGCAAGAGACGCAGTTAATACGAACGCAACACAAACTGCAATAAACCCCAAGGGCTCCCAAGCAAAGCAGAAGAGCGCGAATGCATCTTCTAGACGAGTGCATAGAGTGTATAGGAGCCTCGGACTCAATTTGCATTGCATGCAGCAGCAGTAGCTGCTGCTGCTGCTGCTGCTGTGTGCTGCTGCTGCTGCAGGGCTTAAAGAGTTAGCTGAGGAGCTGCAGCTGGAGCAGGCGATGCAGCGGCTGCGCGAAGGGCGAGTAGAGCCAGCTGTATCGGCCTTTAAAGCATTTAAACTCCACAGGCCCCGCCTTCTTCTTAAGGCCTCCATTAATTTGTCCTTTATTCTTCTTCTAGAAGGAAATGTGCAGCAAGCCAACACTTATGCAGATATTGCACTCAACGCAGACAAGTCAGGCTGCTGCTCTTGCTGCTGCTGATCTGCATGCTGCTGTTAGTGATGTTACTGACGTTCCCGTTGCATGCATGCAGGCATGCATGCATGCATGCGTGAGCTTGTGCATGGGTGCAGCGGCAAAGTTTCTATTGAGCTCCCGTACAAGGCACGAGAGCCTTCCTTGCATGCCAGGGGTGCATGCATACAGCTAAATATGCGTGTGCTTCGCTTTGCTGTCTGCTTTGGTCCCGCTCTTTCCATTTGTTTGCATGCATGTTGCTGCTGCTATGAATGCACGCAACTCCGCAGCAGCAGCAACAGTCTCTCCAGGGTGCGGGGTCCAAGGCACCGGCTTCTGCTGCTGCTGCTGCTGCTGCTGCCGGTGCAGGAGAAGCCCAAAGGCGTTAGTTAACAAGGGCTGCGTTCTTGCGCTCCAAGGACAGCAGCAAGAGGCTGCAGCGCTCTTCCAGGAGGCAGCAGCAATCGATCCTAACTGCCAAGAAGCCCTTTATAACCTCATTGTCGCCTGGCGCAAGCTCGGCTGGTAAACCCTAAACCCCAAACCCTAAACCATCACAGCATTCGCATACGGGTAGGCCACGGCAAACAGGGATAAGAACAGATGCTGCAGCAGCTCTCTTGCTGAGTCGCCGCAGCAGGAGAAGCACAACTCTATGCTGCTGTGTATGCATGCGCGCATGTATTTGCAATTGTGGGGGAGCGACTGCATGCGCTCCAAGCGTTTGCTGCATGCGTTTGCTGCATGAATTTGCTGCATGCGCTTGCTGCATGCGATTGCTGCATGCGATTGCTGCATGCATTGGTATTTCATATGGTGCATGTACTCCTGAGTGTCGCAGCAACGACAAGGCCCTCGAGGCCTGTGCCCGGCTGCGAGCCCTTTCTCCAGGCCACGCAGAGGCTTTGTTTCAGTTGGCAGCAATTTATGAAGAGGCAAAACAACCTTGACCCTTTCCCCTCATAGCATGGCCCTCTCTCTCTCTCTCTCTCTCTCTCTCTCTCTCTCTCTCTGTATATATATATATGTATTTTGCTGTTTGGGGAATTGTGTTCTTTGTGCATCGCTGCAGGAAGGGCAGCTCGCTTTGGCGCTGGAGGCGTTGGCGCTGTTGGCTTCGCCTTCGATTCGGCCTCTGGATGCAGCAGTATGGAGCAGAATGGGTTCTCTTTGTGCGCGCCTAGAGAGGCCTCAGGAGGCCCTCAGCCATTATCGCGAGGCCTTTGGGTATACCTTCTGCTGCTGCTGCTGTTTGCTGTGCCTGCTGCTCTCTCTTGCACATACAGTGACCGTGTCCGTTGTGCGGCAGGCAAGATAGATAAAGCTCTTCTTTCTTTTATTTACAGCATGTCTACTTCTGTGTGTGCTTTTGCACGCGTTTCCTTAAGTTATTGAGATGCTTCCAGCAAGTTAGGCGCTGCTTTGAGAAGCAGCAGCGCATGCAGCTTTCGCATGCATGCATGCATGCAGATATAAGCAGCAGCTTCTCTAGGTGCTCTGCGATGTCTGTACACAGACTGAGGCCTTGGGACCTGGATGCTGCGAGCTGGCTGGGGATAGAGCTGGTGAAGGCGCAGAACTTTAAAGAGGCCGCTCCTTATTTTGCATTGGCAGCGCAGCTGCAGCCAACAGAAAACAAATGGAGACAGCTAGCTGCTCTCTGTCTCCGCAAATCGGGGCAGCTGGGTCCTGCCCTTCTTCTTTATGAAGCCCTTCACAAAGAGCTGCCTGACGACGCCAATATAGCCAAGCACCTCAGACGCACGCGGGCTGCGCTGGGCCTCCAGGCCTCTTGAAGCAAGGTGCCTTAATTTAAAGAGCATGAGGGCACCTCTTTGTTTCCTCACCTCTAATGAATTCAGGCATAGACTTTGTCAGTTCACTGTAGTGGCATTAATTACGCTTAGGTTCCCTTGTGCGTTCGCTATCTCGAGAAATAGGCAAAAGAGCGCCTTATTCTCCACGCTCGTGCAAACAGTGCAGGCAAATTGAAGCCAGCTGGAGATGCGCTTTGCATCATACGTGCATATGAAGTTATGCTGACAGCAGATTCAAGCGAAACACGAAGACAGCGCCTTTAGAGATCGATGACTGCAATGTGTCATTTCCTCTTGGGCCCAAACATACGGTTTCGTTTCTACTGACTGCCTCTGTATTAGTGCAGCAATAATGCGTTTATTCTCTCCTTACGTTTCTCTTCAGCATACACTCATAGGACAAGCACGAAAAGTTGGCAGGCGCCAGCGCCTCCTCCGATGTAACTACAACTCATCTTCCCCCAATGTATAGTGCAAGCGGCTGAATATGCATACACTATATAAATAGAGGAGGAAGAAGAGTAGTAGTTACTGAGCGTACTCGCTGGAGTGTCTTTTGTCTGGATATAACAGTTGCGGGGTTGTCCATGTACAAAACACTTATAGACAGCATAATGCTGTGGAAACATGGCGCGGCTGCGTTGCGCTTGGGCTTGGGATATTTGGCTGAATCTGAAAGGTCGCTTCATGTTTACTAAATCGCAGTGTTTGAAAGGTTACGAAGACATGGGTGCCGTGACTTCATCAGGAGTGCTGCGGTGTGTTGCATATGGTAGGAGCTACGGTGAGACAAAGCCGCGGCACCTTGCCGTCATGCTTTCGAAACGTCGCTTGCCCAGAATAGAGTGAGTCATCCCTGCGTCCGCTGCAAACAAAAAGTGTCTCTCCGAGAGCGTCAGGTATACGACACGAGACAGGCTATCCCCGCACTCCGCAGAACAACGCATGGGCAGTGAGGGGATGTTTAGGACGTGTTTAGCAGCTAGCGCGCTTAACATACGCTTTGTTGCAGCATGATAGCTGCATATGAGGACTCGGGGATGCGGCAGGGCACACGCATGGGCTACGGTGTTGCGTCGCTCCGGCAGTGCGCGGGCTGCCCCAATTACTCCCGAAATCCATGGGTGTCGTGTGGTAAGAATAAGGAGTGAGCGGCTCTTATTGCACGTCATTTGAGATGATGGACCCATGGTTTCTCTAGATTAACATTATTTCATTCAAGTAACCAATGTGTTTCTGCGAAAGACATTGGTTACTTGTTGCGACAAGGAAGCAGCTCGGCAGCAGATCGTCGACCACCGCCAGTAAGTTTCTCTTGAATGGCAGCTTAGACTTGCCGGTACAAAATAAATGCGACAGTTGAGTGCAGAGAAGAACGTACCAGTTAGTGAAGCTTGAGAAGAAATATCGGTTGATGCGGGAATTATCCCACGCGGTCGGGTCACTCCACAACAGGGTGCTCTGTTGTACGACGCAGTGAAGTCTGTGAATGCGTTCTGCTGCGCATTCAGTGGTGCTCTAGTGGGTTTTAGTAGTACCAGTTTCACTCTTTCGAAGGGCCAGATGGATTTATAGGACATTTGCTTCTCTGTTTCCAGCCGATATGATATGCAAGTTGCAAGGTCCTATGAACGCCTTCGTTTTCTAACAATTCCGCCATCCACATTCCTTCTAATTTTGGCTTCATGCCGGTGGGTTTCCCGCAAAGAATTGCAGGCTTTGTTGCACCCAACAGAAGAAGATGAAGGTGAACATCCCATTCCCTTCCTCACCCGCAAAATGTTCTGTTCAATTAGTGTAGTTAGTTGCCCACGATTTGCACTCCTTTTAAAATGTTAAAAGTGCTTCTCACAAGCTTCTGGTGACGACTTGCTGGCGGATACCAGCTCTTCCTGCAAGAGGGTCAAGAAATATAACTGCCCAGGTTGTTCATCGCTAAGAGTACACTTATCCCCTTTGGTCCAGCAATGAGGGTGCATATAGGTTAAGGCTTATTGCCTTTTTTGGCGATTCCCAAGTCCAGGACCATTTCGCGTAGTTCTTGCCCTATGTGCGCATAACTGTCTGCTTGAGGCTAGTCCTAGCTCAACCACGCTAAGCGGGAGTTAATTAACTGTAACTCCCGTGTTATGCTGGACTGGGAACTCAATCCATGTATCTAATGTCAGCTGCCTAACCTCCTTGCTGTTTTCTTTCAGCGGGGTGGGAATCTTGCATGCGCTCACGCTCTATCTCTCGTCCCTCGTACTTCTTCGTTTGCCGATTTATTGCCTTCTTTTTGCCTTGCGTATACATTACGAGGTACTTGGTTACATTAAATAGTTATGTCATTGTGCTCAGTGTACTCGCTTGTTACCGTTTTCTATTCCAATGAACACTTTTGTGTCGCATTAGTTTAGTTTACTCTCCCCTCCTAGGGGTGTGTTTATGCACGAGTTTGTACTTGATTGAATCCCCTCGTGTCACCTATTGCTCTCGGTTTCATATGCATTTTCTTTCACTTTATTTGTCTATTTATTTATTTATGTTTATTATACTTCTATTGATTGTGTTTGTCTATTTATTTTTTTGGCATAATCTGCATCTGTCGAGAGCACGTTGTATCAGTGCCGACCCTACCCACTCATCGAAGTGTGTGTACTCGATGTTATCAGTAGGCCTTTGTGATTTTTCATCAACTTCAGCCTTGTTGTTGGATATGGGGGAGCCTACGCATGTCACTCCTGTGTTTGGTGTGTGGTGTCCGATGCTTGCACAACACAGGGGCTTACTGCTACAGATGAGTACACACATTTCGATGAGTGTTGTCTGTAACTGAACGTAACACCCCGCACTCGCTGGATTTTGGTAAATCAGCATGAGGTGCCCCTGTAGCGGGTCGCGCACGCTTTCCGAGTTTGCATTGGCATGTTGTGTGAAATCCTTAGTACGCATATTTGCCCAAGCACTCCCGTGTCTGGTGCTCTTCGCCGCTTCTCTGGCCAATAGGTCATAAGCCTGCTCTGCAGGGGTTGTTGGGCGCGCTGTCCTTTTAAGTTTTCTCCGCCAATTGCTCGTGCCACAGGAAGTTCGCACCATCTTCCGTTCACATGGTTCGCAATATGTCCGCCTGGAAATTGCATGCAACATTATGATGAGTTAGTCAGTCAAGCCCCGACAACAGATCATACGGAATAGGGCCCCTGAGAACAACTCACGTCCACACCGCACTGTGAAGACTTACACGCCCCATTCAATACACAGCTGCTTACCATTAGCCACAGTGAGAATACACTCTGTGGGGAGCCGCCGCGCCCTTAACTGTAGTCATTCCACTATCATAGGGCTAATGAAATTTCGCAACACTCCAGTTACTAATGGCGCTTCACAGGCGCTCCCAGTCGCATCAGTCGAAGTTTGGCTGCAGTTCCCAGACTACACAACACTCCACTTTCCCCATGTTCCATACTCTCCCACATCTCCCGCCACCATTGCGGACAGTGCCACCATCACCTCGCTTCTAGCTATCTCTCTACACAATCTCTGACGTTGTCGTTACTTCACCAATTAACACTTTCCCAAATCCATAGTTTTTTGTAAGTACGTCGAGCACCATAGAGTTGGACATTTCAGGTACCCCATGATCTGGTTACCCTACCCAAAACGGCATGCAGATTTTCTGTGCGGTCTGGAACGCAGATTTTTTCCAGGCATTAGAGTGTATGGAGTCTGCAAAACAGCGTCAACGAAATCAAGAGATTAGGTGGTCGAAGAGTTGGCTGCTCGGGGGCATGCTAAACTTTTGCTACACGGCAATTTTTCCGACACGTTTGAAAGCGACGCATACAAGCTGCCTTTCGTCATTTTCTTCGTCAGCACCGGCTTGTCCCCGGACGTTAGTTGGCAGTTGCCCTCCTCGTACCGTGCGCTTGCCTAAGTTTAACTCCACCTCCAAAATGTTGTGGCCGCCACTACCTAGGAATAAGCGCTGCTTTAGGTGTGGGTCCGGTGCGGTGTATGGGGCCTTCACCGGCTGGCTGAGAACTCTTGTATTCAATACATCCTATTGTGTCAGCTGGTCCCACTTCTGCTAATCCTGTTGGGCTATGTGGATGAAGCTTGCATGACAGAGTACGGCGTACTTCCCATTCCTTTCTCGCGGCGGTTTTGTACCGCGTTAGAACCTCCTCTATGGTCTTCCGACACTAGTTCCACACTTTTCAATGTTTAGGATGCCAGCGCTGCGCCGTAGACTCTCACTGCTTTCCGGCAAACAGCTACTAATAGTATTTTTTTGAAGGCCGCATGCCCTCGCCCACTGAGCCTCCCTCGCCATCAGTAGGGTTATTTCGTGGTGAAGCGGACCAACATAGAAGCCCTGTATCACTGTAATATTATTAGCTTCTTAGCTAAACCCTCATTTGAGGTCGCTGTGGAGTCCTGCGTACTTGCTACTAGTGATGTTAGTTGCAGTAACTGCAACGAGGAGTCCACAGAGCTGCTGCACATCGTCATTGCTCTAGTTGTCATATCCGCTTCACAGGGTGTACCAAGTAGCACCAAACATTACTATAGCCCTGCATGGGCGCACACTCGACTCGAGAAGGACTTCTGGCTGCGGCTAAGACCCCTTTTTTCCGCATCAATTCCCGACGTGTACTATGTGCAGCCCCGGGGGCTACCCTGGCTGCTGTCGTGCTTTCCCTGCTTCGCTACTCAAAGGCTCCCGTCTCTAATTCAGATATTTGCACCCTCCTCCGTTCTCGAGCTATGTGGCAGTGTTTGTTCCAAAAGGGCGAGGGCGCTACTCGGAATATCGGCCCACCTTTCTGAGCGTTTGACTCGCCGCATGCCTGCTGTTCTGCCTATTTTTTCCTAGGCTGAACTCTCATATACAACCCCGTGTATAGCTGCAGGCCTTCTCACCTAGTCATTCCAAAAGCCTTTTCTTTCTCCTCACCTAGAGCGGTGAAAGCGGTGAAAAATTTCTCAGAGTGCCG